TTTTTTTAATATATCTTTATTGATTTCAGAGAGAGGAAAGGAGAGGGAGAGAGAGAGATAGAAACATCAATGATGAGAGAATCACTGATCGAGCCCGCAACCGGGCATGTGCCCTGACTGGGAATCGAATCCCAATCGTCTGGATCCTAGGTTGACGCTCAACCACTGCGCCACGCCTGGCCCGGCCCACAACCCATTTTTAAAAAATGGTGCGTGAGTGAAAAGAAAATAAACTGAGGGGCCCTTTGACACACCCGTAAGACGTCTGTCTAGCACCTGTGCAAGAATTACTCAGCAGGCAAAACACGCCTTTGCTGAAAGTTATGATCTTTACAGACCGAGGTCGGTCTAATTCAGGGAGATGATCAGTGACTATCTGTCATGTTAGCATAATCTGTTAGTGGGTCTGCACATTAGAGACATTCTATCATTCATTTCAAAGAGGCCCTGGACTCTGACTCTGGCGTAATCTTTCTATCAGCATTGTTATTAAAGTAAAACTTGATCCTGTGGATTTCGTTTCTCTAACCTGGCATTACTGTGACTTTGCTCAGTACCATTTTCCTGAGGAATTGTTTTTTTCCTGCTGAGAAGCACACAAACCTCTTTAGGCAGTTGGGTCTTGCCCTTAGCTCAATGAAAAAGAAAGAAAACAAAAAAACCCACCTAAAAAAAACCCACACAAAAACATCCCAATTGGCATCTGTAATTGCGAGCCTGCTTTTCCACCAGATGTTATGTAAGGGGGCACAGTATGAATCTGCTCTCTAATTCCAGCCGAGAAGAGTTCTCCTTTGTAAAGTTTTAGAAGCCCTTGGTTGCTTAAAAAAAAACCCCAATTATAGTCAGTGAGCTTTCACGCATTTTCCATCATAGTGTCACCGAAGCTAGAAGTTTCTGGAAGAATCCAGGAGATCAAAGTTGTAGCTACAGAGGCCTAAGAAAGAGACGTAGAAATGGGAAATAAACACATGAGAAGATGCTTAATTTTTTTAGTCATCAGAGAAATGCAATTAAAACTATACTGAGATGGCTCTTAACTCCCACCAGAGTAGCTAGAATACAAAAGATGGAAAGAAAAAAGACAGATAATAACAAAACTCACTGTATAAAAAATGACTGAAAAGTACAGGAGTTGACGAGGATTAGAGGAAACTGGAATCACACACATTGCTGCGGAGACGTGCAGTGGTGTAGTCACTTTAGAAAACTGTCGGGCAGTTTCTTAAAAGTTAAACACAGATTTTTGCCATGACCCATGAGGTACGTTCCTGGGTATTTACTCAAGAGAAATGAAGGCCTGCGTCTGCACAAAGGCCTTCAGGTAGATGATCATAGCACCGTTACTCGCAATAGCCCCAAAGTGGAAACAACCCAAGTGTCCCTCAGCTAGTGAGTGGGCAAAAAGTATAGTATGTCCCACAAAGGACATCATTCAGCCACAAAAAAAACAAAATATGGGTACAAAACGCAATATGAATAAATCTCAGAGACATCGCGCTAAGTGAAAAGAGCTTGACACAGGAGACCGTATGTTCTAGAAT